CCACAACAACAACAACAACAACAACAACAACAACAACAACAACAACACAACACCACCACCACCACCACCATCACCACCAACAACAACAAACATAGCTTTCCCCATCATTACACACAGGTACTCAAATGTATCTGATCTCTCCCTTTCCTATCTACCAGGATCGGCAACAATTTCACCTTGCACCACTTAGCCCCTAACTGTGGATCAATATTATTAGTTTATTATCGATTCAGCCTATATATGGGGGGAAACAAAGGAAATAAGCTCAACTGAACGCTGTCGTATACGATAAGGCTATCACTTTGCCGGATTGACACCCTCGTTAATGTCAAGTCCTTGGTTGGGAGAGTCGACTGATGGGCGAGGTTTGAAACTTGGAGGGAAAAACAGTCAAGCTATTATTACAACGCCCGACCGAGAGAGACTGCTTCTTCACACATCTTGCGAACATCGGTATTACTATCGCTGTCTGGCTTGTTGCGTTATAGATCTACATCGGTACGGCGTGGTTATAAAAATATACACACGTACAGCGTATTCCATGTACTGTTATATTATTAGGGCTTTCATTTGATGTTATAATATACAAACGCACACACACACACATACACAAACACAAGCACACCCACACAAACACCAACCAACACACGCATACCCGCACAAATACTCCCCCCCCAATACACCCTCTTAAACACACACACATATATGTATATATATATAATATGTTTGTTTTTGGAGATGGATAGATTTCTCAATGAGTTGCACCATGATGATAATGATGATGATGATGATGATGATGATGATGATGATAATCACCAACATCATCATCATCGATGAAACAGAAAATGAAGGAGAAAATTTGGTAGGCCTACATCTATAACTTTGAACATTTTAGGTAGGCCTACATCAGACAAAGGCTCTCGTGTGGGCTCAACCTTGTACAGATTCGGAGTTTTCAGAAGCGTCTCTTTAAACTTTAAAGAAAATGTTGCAGCCCAGATAACAACCGATAATAATAAGATATCATTTGTATCGTGCAAATTCCCGCTCTAAAGTAAGCCATATGCTCTTTGCAATCTGTATTATATTATTACCCCAGCACACCTGATATCATTCTGAAACAATATCAAATTTCTGAGAAGCATACAGTCCATGCTTCCATTAAAAGGAGGTAAAACACTAACACTAACACGCTGCCATGAAAGCATCTCTGTATAGTTAAAGATTTATATTATAGTACGGTCAAGAATTTGTGGCGCAACTTATCCTCAAATATCTCTTTAACGGGTGAATCAATGGTACCCATACTGCACAGCAATTTGTATCAGTTTGTCTTAAATTAATAATATTTTCCCCACAACAATTGAGGACAAAAAAACAAACAAAAAACAACAACAAATTTTTCTTCAAGAATGTATTTAGAATACTATAAATCTCCGCTACGCTGAAAATGAGAGTGTTCACAGCACTTCCTGTTTCTCGCTCACGTTTCGTTTACGCAAATTGCCTAAGGCACAGCTCACCAATGGCACTTTTTAGTTTTAGATAGTAGCAAAACTTCTTTATCACCATCACCCATTATCATTGCCTTTCTCACCCTGCACCAGGTTATAGGCCACGGACAAACACTTTCAACCCTTCTCCATCCTGGGGTAGCTTCTTGATGTCATTCAATGTCTTCCCACTTTTCTGTACATCAATTTATGTGATTCTCGTACTGGTTCCCCACTGTCTTCCTCTTGATCTTTTACCCGGTGGATTCCAATCAAACATTTTTTTTGTTATGCAGCTGCCTGAATTCCAGAGAGTATGTCCAATCCATCGCTATTACCTTCTTCCTACCTCATCTCTGACTGGGAACAGTCTTGTTTTTCTTAACACTTCCTCGTTGGTGACCCTGTCTGTCCATCTGATCTTCAGTCAACAGTAAGTTTTTCAGACAATTGTTCAAGAAAACCTGTTTCTTCTTTATTCAAGTCTGTGATGAATTCCATGTCTCACATCCATACAACAGGACTGACTTCACTTTTGAATTGAAAATCCTCAGCTTTGTTCGAAGTGAGATATCTCTGGTCTTCCAAACCCTATTCAAAGATAAATATGAAAGCAGCCTATGATTTTCCAATACGGGACTTTATTTCAGCCCCTGTTCCTCCCTCTATGTCAATTATACTCCCAAGATAACAGAAGGATTCAACGTTTCTTTGTGCCTTTCCTTCCATTGTGGGCCTGCTCCTCTTGTTATGCATCTGTCCTTAGGACCTTTGACTTTCTGGGGCGGATTATCAATCCAACAGACTCTGAAAGACAGTTTGACACTGAAGTCTTTGTTTGCATCGATTCCTGGGTGTGCGACAGAAGCGCCAAGTCGTCCGCAAAATCCAGATCGGTCCAACTGTGACCATGGGGTCCACTGTATACATTTTCTGTGTCCCCTGGTGGTTTTCTTCATCAGCCAATTGGCTGTCAATACGAAGACGAAAGGTGATATTAAACATCCCTGTCTCACACCAGTCTTGATGTCAAAGCTGTCAGTGAGCTGGCCATCATGTACAACCCTGCAACTTGTCCCTTCGTATATGCTCTTGATGAGCACTTCTGTGGGATTCCGTGATGTTTCATTATCTCCCATAATGTTGTTCGGTCTACACTGTCAAACACCTTTTCATAATCAAGGAAGTTGACGATTATCTTGGTGTTCCACTTCAGGGACTGTTCCACAAGGATCCTCAGCATGGTAGTCTGGTCGGTGGTTGAGCGCTTTTCCCCCCGGAAACCAGCCTGTTCATACCATAGTCTTGGATCCGTTCCAGTCTTGATTCTCTCCAGAACGATTCTGTTGAAGACCTTACATGGTATTGAGCGAAGAGTGATCCCTCTGTAGTTGTTGCAGTTGCAGAGATCCCCCCCCCCCTTTTTTTTAAAAGCTTCCGATTAGGTGTCCTTCTTTCCAATCATTTGGGAACTTGCTCTCTTTCCAGATCCTGGCAAACAGAGGGAGGAGGTCTGCCGTCTCATTGGCATCTGCATTTAGGGCCTCTGGTAGAATCTGATCAGGACCGGCCGCATTACCTTTGTTCAGCTTCTTAGTGGCACCCAGAATCTCTTGCTTTGAAGGTGCATCATTCCTTTCTAAAATAGGTTTCCCTTCTTAATCCTTTACTGGTACTTCAGGGTTCCCATATTTTCCAGTAAGAATCTCTGTGGTATCGTAAAGGATTCAAACGGTGAATATCTCGAATAAACACTGACTATGAGCGTTGCACTGAATGAGTTATATACGACATGTAATCCACCCGTCAAGCATTTTGTTGGCTCAGTGTAAAACTCCGCCATTTGTCACTTTTCAAAATGGCGTATGTCGGAGTCTTATACCGAATGGTTGATTTAATCTCTGTTTTTGTTAAAGCCTTATCCCCACCCTTCGAGTGATAGAAATAACTCCGCCTCAAAGAGCACTGTATTCAAAGTACATGTACATGTATTCATACTTTTGACAATTTTTTTGATACCACCTTAGGAATGACTTTGGTTCAAATTTTCACCCTTGTGATGTCGTAGTGAGAATAAACTTACAACTTCTCTCTGATTTCTTCAAATATCACATGCGTTTCACAGTTGCAGGTATTTTACCCCCGCCACCCAACAACACAAAACAAAGACAAAAAACAAAAACAACAAAACAACAACAACAAAAACCAACAACAACTCAAAACAAAACAAAACAACACCCCCCCAAACAAAATAATTAAAAAATCGAAAAATCGAAATTCGACATTATTTAGATGATTTATTAAAAGGAGCACTGCTTCGTAAACCCCCCCCCCTAAAAAAACAAACAAACCTACAAAACAACAACAATAAAACAGGTCAAAATATTAACCAAAGTCAAGTGAACAAACGAAAAAACAAAACAAAACCCCAACAAAAACTCACAAAGTAAAGCTAAAAGACTTGTAATATCACTCACCAAACAATCGTGTTGTTTAGGTCTGATTCCAGAGTCATCACAGATCTCCCACCCTCCGTCGCCGACGTATCCCATGCGTAGTTTCCGTTTACAAATGGTGTCTATGTTGTCAAGGTAACTGTGCACATGCGCCATGAGCTCCGTTTCGTTCATTTCTGCGATCATCGGGTCGGTGAACTGCGATATTTTGAAGTCGACCACTGCGATGGATCGGATGTAATTCAGATCGATCTCTCTACCATCGAATTTCTTTACTGTCCAGAGGAAAAAAGAGAAAGATTTGATTATTAATTCTCTCACATCTTGGTCTCTAACAAAAATGTAAATCAAATCCTTCGGTGTTATGGTAAGGTTAATTTCATGTAAAGAGGAACGCTACCATTTTGGTAGAATGCAATAAGATCTCCACAATATACCTGACGGTACACACACACACACACACACACACACAGAGAGAGAGAGAGAGAGAGAGAGAGAGAGAGAGAGAGAGAGAGAGAGAGAGAGAGAGAGATAGATAGATAGATAGATAGAGAGAGAGAGAGAGAGAGAGAGAGAGAGAGAGAGAGAGAGAGAGAGAGAGAGAGAGAGAGAGAGAGAGAGAGTAAATCAAATCCTCCACAAACAAACATGTTCAATTTTCTGTGTCACGATTGGGTGTATCTGATGTAAATTGTGGCCAAGAGCAAATCACAGGGCTGCTTCTTGTCACATGACATTGCGGGGAGTCATGTCTTCTGCCGTATGCAATAATGGACTTCTGGGTAAAGTTTATCGAAGCAAATTTATTTTTGGTAGAATAAAATGTAAACAAAGAAGGAACTAACCACGGTCATTTATGGACCTGACCAGACTGGACGCGATCTAAAAATTCAGATAAGGTCCAACTGACTTACGGGCATTTCCTCTCAGCACGTCACTATGTAGGCTAGTTCCTTTTCACAAGATGCCTCATCTGCCCCTATTATACAGTGTGCATAACATTTTCACAGCTGTTATCCATTTCGTCGCTCCCCCCCCCCATCTTTCCCCACTTCTCCGCTTCCCTCTTCACCCCACCCTTTCCTTAGTTTTAAGCTCCTTGCCTCAACCCTAAACCCTCCATTCCAACATTAACTCCCCCATTGCCCACACTTACCAGTACTGATTCCTCAGATATAATATCTTTGGCTGTGGTACTGCCACTGCTGCGACCAATATAAACTATGTAGTCGCAGGAACTCGAATTTCGTTTTATATATTGTAACATTAAAACTGAACAAATTTGTTAATTAGTGTTATGGGTTTTGTTCATTTGCATACGCCATGCCAAACCCAAGGCGCTTAATTCCAATAGATTATACTCGTCGGTGGCCTAGTGGTTAGGCTACCAGACTCGTAATCGTCAGATTGCGAGTTTGGGGGTTCGAACCACGAGCCCGACGTTGTGTCCTTGGGAAAGGCACTTTACACGAATTTCCACCTCTTCACTCAGGTGAAAATGGGTACCCAGCTATAGACAGTGAAAGATCTTGTCAGTCTGTTAGTGTTTGAGCGCTTAACCAGCTGCCTGCACTGTATGCTTCCCGGGAAGCTGAGAATGTTTCTGAGTGTTCTATGGTCTGCTGGGGTAATAATATAGTGTAAAGCGCATAGAGCTTGCTTTCGAGTGGGGACATGCGGTATACAAATGGTATTTATTACTATCATTATTACTCTGCGATAAAATCATAGGCACTTGTTGATAATCTACGCAATGATACGTAAGCATCTAGTAATAATTTCCACGTATTGGTCTTATATCTGCATATCTAAATGCTTTTCTTCTTTTTTAAAAATCTCTTTTTCTTTTTTTTTTAAATTCTAAAGGAAGGTAACTAATTTTTCCTCATATAGTCCACCATTTTCGAGTGGTTGAGAGAGAAAACAAAAAGATTTTGAGAGTGAGAAGGAGAGGGCAATAATGTTTTGCAAACATAAAAGTTTCCCCGAGATCGGCTCACTGTCGCTCACATTATGAGGTCGATAATATTGACAGTTGAGAGGAGACAATGACGCAACCAAACCCCCTACTTCAAACATGTGTGTGTGTGTATGTGTGTGTGTGTGTGTGTATATGTGTATGTGTGTGTGTGTATGTGTGTGTGTGTGTGTGTATGTGTGTGTGTGTGTGTGTGTGTGTGTGTATGTGTGTATGCGTATGTATATGTGTATGTGTATGTATGTGTGTATATATGTGTGTATGTTTGTGTGTGTGTATGTATGTGTGTGCATATGTGAGTACGTGTGTGTTTGTGAGCGTGTGTATGCATGTGTGTATGTGTGTGTATGTGAGTGTGTATGTGTGTATATGTGTGTGCATGTGTGTGTATGTGTGTGTATGTGTGTGTGTGTGTGTGTGTGTGTGTGTGTGTGTGTACACACACACATTACTCACACTCCTCCTCCCTCCTGTGCCAGTTCTCTTTTTCCGTACTCTTGAGCAGACGCGAGTTGAGGGTGAGATAACCCACCACCACCAGCACTACCATCATTAGCTGAAGGGGCAAGAAACGGCAGCGGCGGAAGTAGATACTCAGAGTTTTGCTCATGGTGACTGGCAGCGTGGTAGGCAGGAGCAGCTGGAAGCGACGGGCACTTCCGAAATAGATAATATAATAGTACATGTATTATCAATACATCTATGAAGTTAATGGTTAAACAGACGGATGAACGAATGAAAGAATGCACGATTGAATGAACGATACATAGCTGCCTTCCTACTTGAAGTTAGTAAATCTCTTACCCTAGTGTTCCTCTTGTACTGGAACAAACATGGTACTTAGTATGGAAAAAGCCCCGTAAAATATAAACATAAGGGTCTTGAACACCTAGCTCTCGCTAGCTAAATTGAAGGCAAACGAGGCAAGGGTAGGCCTAGAACAACATACGAAGGGAACCTAAATAAATAGGTGACAGGAAAAGATCGGGGAAACTTTCGTAGCTTTTTTTTTAAAGCATCCGAGCAAAGGAATGAATGGAGAACCATGATCGCCGATGTCTGTCGCAGATCTGGCACTGGATGATAATGAAAATACAAAATAAAAAATATCAGGCATCTAGGTAGTAATGGTCCCTCTTCTCGGCGTTGAACATGAGCAACCCGAACAGAGAGGGGTATAACGTCCCAGAAAAAAAAGACTGAGATGGCCTACTCGATAAAAATTCTCCACACTCCAGAACTGAACCAAGATTTTTCTGCCTGCAACAGCGAAGTCCCGGACCACTACACGAAAGCACACTCCGTTAACAGAAGAGTAATATATTTTCAATAAGTAAGTAAGTTTGTTCAGTGTTTAAAGGCCATTGGCCCACATCACATCCCTTAAAACACTCATTTGATAAGTAAAGTTTCCATAATGAATAAGTACAGTTTGTGCACATATCTCTTATCATGGGTCAAACATTGCTTATTTCTTTTACAGGGCCGAGTCAAGCTGGGAAGGAATAACAATTTCCTTTGATGGACAAAGTGTGAACAATAGAAAATAAAGTGAAATTCATCTTCAATTTCATGAGAGTTACACCTCTCACATAAGGGCGAATTAGTTGATTTCCACAGATAGAGATTGTTATTTAATGGAAGGCTATGGGTTTTTAACAAAGCTATGACTCTTCTGCTCTAATACCGTGGGATATTTTCAATAAAATATATAATAAAAGTATAAAAGTTATTGTTTACTTACGCAGTAGAAGCAGCATAAATTTCTGGAAAATGTCTGGAAAATCAGGGGGTACGTTCTTCGCCTCAATAGATACTCATGAATGTGACACACTTTTGAAAAATCCAAAAAGCATACAAAGGATTCACATACTAAACAAAGCGTGATCGTAGAAGAAGTACAAAAAGGGCATTACTTTTGTCGACCTTTCTTTTATAAGACATCAGCCCTCGAACAACTGATGTCAAGTGGATGAAAGTATTGAAAGCTCACCTCGAAAGATCGATTTTGATCACACTACTTTTCCCCCTTTCTTTTACCTCAGTATTTTTTTTTCGGTAGTAAACTTTTCTCTTTTTAAATAGAGCAACACGTTTATGATACACAGTCTAAATATAGTGAACAGCTTGTGATAAAGCAGATAAGCAATGTAAGAGAAAAAAAAGAGTTATGTTAAGCAACAACAGCAGGAGAATGTCGAGTTTAATCTGGGTATGCAAGAGCTACACTCTAAACATTAACTGACACGTTGTCAAGTGCATCGGCTTTATCGTCTTTCCTTTCCTCTCTGGTGTTGTCGAGCTTGTAATGGTTCACCCTAAATAGTGACTTATTTGTGGCAACTAGTATGATACGCTTTTAATTTTACTTTTACAAAACAAAATTATTCTAGCCCCTCCCCCCAAATTGCTTTCTCATCCCAAAGTCTTTGTCTGCCTCCTTCGGATCCCCCCCTTTAGTATTTTGATACGTAAAAAAAACAACAAAAAAACAACAACAAACAAACAACAAAACAAACGACTATATATAAACAAACAAGTAAAACAACCTCCCCCCCCCCAAAAAAACCCCTTTACATCTTTTATACTACATGTTGGCCAGTGAAGAAGGTGTCAGTTCTATTGGAATCCACCGTGTGGGTTTTCTAAAAGAAGGTATTTCTCACATATCGAGAGATTCATTTAAGGAATAATTCTTTCTTTGAAGCATTTAGAAAACGAGGAGTCCCACTCCTTAATGAGGGTTGCTTTCTTGATCTGGTTAAGACAAACAGCTACGAAACATTTATATCAGCCTTCCCTAAAACTTTGACACAGGAAGGGTGACAAGGGGTTTATTACATGTAACTCAAAATGAGACTACATGAACAAAGTAATGATATTTCACAAGCATTTATTGAGCATTAACTTTATGTCAGCTTCGTTGATTTTGAAAAAGCATTCGACAGTGTGCTGAGCATTGTCAGAAAAAGAAAATACTGTTATCAAAATCGAAACACAAAAGTTTCACTCCCATATATTTATCATTGGCGTCAATCTATTGGATATAATTCTCATGCCCTACTTCAAGTCAAAACAAAGAAAGTTTTCTTTAACCCTTACTTTCACTACCAGGCCAGAGAATTGAGTAATGAAGCAGGTAGAGGAATAAAATCGAATTTCTGCGTTTCATAAAACTCAGTTTATAAACATAAACATTCATTGTTGCAGGCTACTTTTTTTGGTCACTTCCCATTGTATGTGGGACCTTTCATCCAAAATAAGCAAGTGATCAATACAGTGGGTGTCACATTCAGCAAGATCACACTCAACGAGAAGTCGGCTTACTTGTTTACAATGGCCTTTTAGAAAACGGCCTTTCCCTAGAATATATCAAAACGAAACAAATGAAAAACTGAAAATTAAACTACAGTGACTTTAGGCTCCTCAATAAAACGGTGCACTATTTAAATGATTCTGAACTACCATTAAGTTTGTTAAATTCGAAAGTTAAGTAGTTCGGAAGTTTTAGGCGGCCAAAGTGATCGACTTTCACAAATATAATAAAAATGTTATTATTATTGGGGGGGGGGGGGGGGGTAAGGGTTTTATGGCTCTCGCAACTGCATAAGGCCATGTGGACACGCGAGACACATTAACATTTTCTGTTGGTAGGAAATTTTGAATGTTGCTCGGGTGGCGGCCGAAGCCTACTCTTATCGATTTTGGACCACCAAGGGATTTTTAACTCTGGACTTGTCAGAGCTGTATAAAGAGCTCCTTTTTCCGGGAAGTTGAAAAATATATTTAATAAATTTCTGACTTTAAGATTTTTTGGGATTATTGGCTAAGTATTCATGTTCATTCCCTTTTCATCGGGTGTGATTGAACAGCGTCGCTAGTAGCGGGTGTTCCGGTGCGGTTTACTCTTCTTTCCTGTCAAACATTTATCGTCCTTATCTCTCCTTCTTCTATTTTGTGTTTGTTACTCTCTTGTATACCCCGGGCGTGCCACTGACTGAAGTGTCTTTAGGCCATTCCCAAAGGGGGGACATTTCTCGTTCTAGTGCACAGTAGAATTGTAAATGAGCTGATCTAACAATATCATGCTCATAACTGTGCCTGAACTACAACAGGGAACTGCTGCTTTTTCTTTCCTAATCCTTACTATCGTCATTTTCCTCTACTTCTTTTGTATTTTTCACTCTTGTGACCCGCTATTTCCGGGGTGCCTTGATAGTCAAAGCAGACTTTGTGCTGTTGAAGCTAGAGAGGTGAGCAGCGTAAGTCTGATTCCCTGTCAGGACTTCTCTGTTGACATCCACCCCTTCGCGCTCATATTATGACCTTATACAGTTGCGAGGGCCGTAAAATCTCTACTAAAACTAAAATTAAAAGTGAAAGTCCTTTTTTCACCATCATTTTCATTGTCATCATCAGTATTTACGGGGCGTGTTAAAAAAAAATAAATCATATCTCTTCTTGGTTATTCCCCGTTAGAACCATATGTGAACAGTAATTTCCCATTTTTTTCCGGCACGATGTACCTCACTGTTATAAATATGGGTCTTCCATTTTGTCTTGTGCTTTCTTTATTTTTGCTTAATTAGATGTAACATAGTCTGTGGAGTGGGTGGTTTGCGGGTGCTTTGGTGTGGTTTGCTTCTTTTTTCCGATCAAACATCTATCGTCCTTATCTCTCCTCCTTTTTTGTTTGTTACTCTCTTGAAACACCTCCAATCTTCGGCACTTATATGACCTTATTGTGTTGCAAGTGCTGTAAAACTCTTACTAAAACAAAAGAGTCTGTGGTGTAGAAGTTAAGCTCTTTGCCGTGGCACTCGGTAGACTTGAGTTTGATTTTTAAATGGCGAGGTTTGTTTTTCAAAATTTAATCTTGTATCTCGGTCTCTCTGCTGGCATGCTGTATTCCTCTGTGTCCTTGTTGGCCTTGACTGGCAGGACTCAAAGAATTGAAGTCGATCTTGAAAAACAACCCCTTCCCCCCCCCCCCCCCCCCCAAAAAAAAACCCCCCAAACAAAACGCGAGGGTTTACTGTTTTGGGATGTTATGTTTGGTCGTTTTGGAAAGTGTTTTACGACCCTTGCAACTGCATAAAGCCACATGACCGTGCGGGATACATTAGACATTTTCAGTTTGGTAGGAATTTTAAATTTTGCCCGGGTGGCGGCCGAAGCTTATTCTTATCGATTTTAGGGCTACCAAGATCATCGCGCAACTTGCATACACGACCTCCGAGAATTTTAGCTCGTTTCCGAGAAGGCCAGTTGTTCGATCTTTCCAAGCATAAGATCGGGGGTGTGGCTGAAAACAGCAGTAAGAAGGAGATGAACTGTAGAAAGAGGCATGACATTTTGAAATGTTTATTGTTTCAGTTTCTTAATCTGTCGAGGTCCTAATCTTCTTCCAAATGATCAATCATTCTATTTCCTTTAAAATATATTTCAAGAACATTTATGTATCTGTTTTGTATGATTTCAAAGGGTTTGCCAATGTCACTTTTATCTCGAAACAAAAGTGTAGCAAATTATTATCAACATCCTCAACCCCACCCCCTTTTCTCATCCTTTTACTTTTATCTTGCACGTGTATGGATTTACCATGATGCAGCAAAATTTCTCTTTGCGGAGATCAACAAAATCTGATGTTATCTTACCTTTTCTTACCTTATTTCCCACTCCCCCATCACCACGAGATACCATGGGCCCTCTGTATCGCACCTCATTCCACGCCACTACATAATGAACATATTATATAGTCCCCTCCTGTACACATTAATCCATTCATCCTCCCTACCCCCTGCTCTACACATTAATCCATTCCTCACCCCCTACTCCCCTCTCCTCTAGACCTTAATCCATCGTTCACCACCACCCCCTGCCACCCCCTCACCTACATCTTAATCTATTCTTCACCCCCTAACCCCTCCCCCATCCTC